CTGACTGGTCGCTGCTACTCTTCACTCACATCTGTGAAAAAATCAAAGGACCTGTGAAATTGTGTCATATTTAACGAACTTTAATGGATTTCTGGGATTGGCCCTGTCACTGTTATGCATCCACCTTAGTGAATAAACGGACTACATGCTGCTAATGAACGACATAATCACTATCTATAAGGATACTTGCGCTAGGCCTTTTTCTAGTTATCACGCTGTTATCCCACCATCCTGCAATACTGATGTTTGCACTATTCGTGTACAGTACGCTGGACAACTGGTGCAATCCGACCAAATAAGGATGATATTCAGCCGATCGCAGTTGTTTGCGTGTCCGATTTTGTTCGTGTAGTGAACGAAGTCATATGAAAGCCTGAGCCATCATGTCGCAATTAATCTAAATACAAGTAACTAATTTGGTGTTCTTCCCAGGGGTTTCTAAGTCAGGTAATCTTCCCTGCTTCTGGAAGTGCACTTGACAGCTGTTTCTCACTTCGGGACTCACCAGTGGTACGCATTCCTAGGCTCCGATTAGGAACTGAACCTACGATCTCTCAGTTCCATGATGGAAGCGCACGCGTATGAACCGCACACGAAAATTGCGGACGACAAAAAACGCACAGACATAAAAGCGGACAAAAAGATTACAAGCACGGATGATTGCGCACACTCAAGGTTAACACGTATTATCAATCTGCTCTCATTGTCACATTTGCCCATATTATCTATTTGTGGCACTTACAAGATCCAGTTTTTGACCTATGACTTCAAAAGTAGCACATTGTGACAATTATTGCATTCACACCCAAAGTGCTCTTTAGTTCGACCGCTGGGTACGTACTGTACTGCGCAGTGTTGTAAAACCATCTACAGAAGTACACAAACTAAGCATCGCTCGCCTACTGTAGTTAGTCGAGGTCTCAACAAATCGGCGGCTGAAACCCACTGTGTGTCAGCAGGCCGAGTTAATGTTCTGCCTTCCCTTGCCATCCTTTTTTGAAGACACTGACATCGAAGTCGGCTATTTTCACCTGAGCCAAAACCTCATAAGGGATGTGGGCAAAGGGGGATTAAAGACTTCCTTTGCAATTGTTGTCAGTCGGAAATTCCAACTCATGCCTCTGGATGCACTGACTATTGTCCCGGTCGTTGATATAAGTGCAGTGTTTGATGTTTTTCGCGCTACATTTCCAGATGAAAAATCATGTAATAAGGTGCTCACATGCTTCTGCATATACGGTTGCGAAGCAATCCAGGGCAACCAGTATATTTCACTTAATACTCACATTAGGAATTCACGTCACAAAAACGAGCTGCTGGACAGTCTTTCTGGTAGTGACAATGAGACCCGAAGACTTGTCTGCATTACCGGAATGAACTTCACCCCACAGCCGCTCATACAACATTGCATCTGGAGAGAATAATTGGGCACATCTCCAACACTTGGGCCGATCCTCTGATGGGGCTGCATTTTTTCGTTCCACCACCTAGGTTACCAAAACACAATGTATGGAAGTGCTTCAATCAAGCTAGACATAAGCGAGATTGTTAGAACTCTGGTATGCACTTCGTACTTTTTGAGCTCTGGCTCAAGGCAGCGTCTTCCAAGCAACCAACAGACACGGCAAACTGAGTCGCACCTCGTAAGGGGAACAATTCAGATGGCATCACTCAGCCAGTCTGCAAAATTCGCGATCACACCCCATTCCTTAAGCACGAGAGTGTTAAGGACACAAACTGTCGCCAGCGTAAGATGGAAAAACTAGTAACCATTCTCTCAGCGGTCGGCGCAACCTCGCATCCAATTCACACGTCCCCCGACTCACTACTGATATCAGAGGTATCATACGCGTGGGACCTCAACTTTATGACTGAAACCTTGTTCCGCGCACAAATTACCAAAGACGAAGTCGCGATGAAGTGGATGCCACTTATTCACAAATATGGCAGACGGAAGTGGACTACTTATAAGTTGTCAGAACAATCATTCCTCCACGTGAATTGGCAACTGCCAATCAGTAGGTACCGGTTTTGTTTGCGGCCGCTTTTGTGACGATGTCGTCCGTTCATCTGAGAAGTCTTGATTCTGTGACGAAAAACTCTGACAAGCGACCAGTTTACTTGGTACCTGGCAAATACCCAGGTAAGGGCGCAACCAGTTATCCCGTAACACCATAGCTTTAATTTGAGTCAGAAATGAGGGATACCATGAAGGTTATCGAAATGCTTAAGATCCCTCGTGCACCTGTGACGTGCGCTGATATTCCCACAATTCTAGTACGCACGAATCACCAGGGCCGTTTGAAAGTGTTACCACTTATGTGCGCAAAAAGTGCGAGTGACTATCTGGACTGTGTTTTCACCAATAAAATGCGCATGTGGAAATTCGCCCACTTAAACAATGCGCGAACGGGCTAATCACTCGGAAAAAAGATTTCAAATTGAAAGAGATGGAACATAGGTTGAAATATGATGGTATGTGATTTGTTACTACGAGTACAGTTTTCCGTTGTGCGCAAATAGCTTAACGCTAGGTTTGAAACCGGCAAGAACAACAACGGTAATTATTTCGAATTAGCTACTCTTCGCAAGTATTTAAGCCAGTCTGCCGCCGATTCATAATCTCAAGCGCAAGAAGCAACGGCAGCTTTCAACGCATCATATCTTTTCTTCCTTACCTCAAAACGACCTGCACGCGCATTGGCTAGTGTAAGTCTGTGGCATGCCAAGTCCCTCTGTAGTTCATCAAACAAATGCCATAACGCTTGGATAACTGCAGTGGAATAAGGAATTCAAAGCAATGTGAATTCCTCCGCAGCAACTGGTGTGTTCCGCTGACCTGTCAAGAGCGGCATCCTGATGGCTCCACATTTGCAGTGTGTGCTGCGGTTCTCGGCCTGCTGCCCCTTCAACGTAAGTAAAGCAGAAATAATTGAGCAACGAATTATATGATACTTCATTTGGAAATGTGCTAGCTAGCTCATCAAAACTTCTCTCACTTCAGCGATTGGGACTAAGGAAAGTGCAGTCAGCGACTTCAGCCATAGTTGAATTTTGACATCCATTTCAAGTGCACTCCTTAGGCCGACTTTGCGGACTTTTGTGATGACACTTTGGCGCAGTTGGAATTAGCATCCTTTAATTACTGCGTTGGGAGATGCGAATTTTGCAGCGTTAATAGAACTCTTCTCAAATTCGACTAACACCTTTGTTGGCATATATCCGGTAACAGTAGTTTCATTATTGCAAACATTCTTGTATAGGTCTGCAACAGGATGTATAGGTAAGCGGGATAGCTTGCCCACGTTGGCGTGCCACGTATACGGCAGATACATCTTGGGAACTTTATCAAGAGTGCCGCCCCGTATATGGTATCTGTACACAATTCAAGTACAGGTTCTTTATCAGTTAACATGAGAATCCTTTTTAGATCATCCATACCTGAATCATGTAGAATTAGTTCGGAGTACAGCTTAGGAATAGCAAAATTTGTGCCTGTTGGACAATGCAAATGACCGCTTTTTCGGTGACTCAGAAGAGTTGTTGCAATGGATGATTGTTTAGGAAAGTGGGCCGAAGCATCACTACTCAGTGCAGATAACACATTTCCTATTATATTGCGAGGTGTACCACTGACTGCCCTCATGTCCAGTTTCATTTGGCTTCGTGCAGCATTTGCTTCCGCTTTTTGGGAACATGAGTCATAAGAGTGCGCAGTCGGCTGTTGCAAGATGATGCCGTCTCTTGTCTTCATCAGTGGGTGACACTTCACACCTCGGTTTTGCCTGCATCGCCAAGTTACCATTCCTTCTATGGTTTGGAATGCAAGGTATTCAAACCCAAGTATGTCAAAATCAGGTTGTTCTTCTGATTTCTAGAGTACTCTATAGGTAACAGTGCAACAATCATAGTCCATCTCTCATTAAGCGCAGGCATCCTGTGGTTGTCCACATGCGGGACACACTAACAAGCAGAACCGAGAACGGACGCTGTCAGTCGTGATTCACCCACGTTTAGACATGCATGCGTGGTCATAGTTGTCCATTCATGATGCTCTAATATTAATCCGGGGCATACAATTTTGTGGAATCTTGTTAATAACTTTTACACCGTCAATATGAGTCAACTTTTGTCTGGATTATTAAAGCCATTGGTAACATTTCTATGTTAAGGGTAGGGTGGGTTATACTGTGATGGTGGAAATTGTTAAACTGCTAAGCTGGCATTCGTGAAAAGGAAAAATACAGCTCGATCTTAAGATCGGACCAAGCGTTGAAGATGTGTCCAATGACCCCCCCCCCCCAGATGCATGGTTGTATAAGCATCTGTGGTGTGACGGATATTCTGGTACCGAAGATAAGTCTTATTACCTCGTATTCAATACTAGCAACATGTCCAGTAGATCATTCTATGTGAAGTGAATTCCTAATGTGAGTATTAAGCATAGTACATAAATAATACGGTCATATATGATCATGTTAACAACTTGCGAAAATGTGTTCACTCTCAGTATGCGCAATCTTCCATGTCCGCTTTTATGTCTGTGCACTTTTTGCTGTTCGCAATTTTCCTTTGCGGTTTCTTTATGTGCGTTGTCTGATCACCCGATCTCTCAACACTAGTGGTCGGTTTCACTAGGCATCAGCTTGTGAATTAACTGTTGCATAGCGCTGCTCATTTTCCACTACAATGCAAGCTAAGAACGTTGCAGAGAACAGGGTTTGTTTTTAGAACCAAGGCTTCTCATAAAATTACCTCTAACTAATAGGGCTTTTCGAAAACCTTTTTTCAGGGGAAGCACACACGTACCCCTGTAACCGCAACGACACTATAAAACGCCATACCTTATTCTGATTTTCACCCTGTTTTGTTTTTCTGCACTTTTCCGTTTTTGATCGAACACCGTCCGGTAGCTGTCATGCAAATCATCTACCAATTATGTCTTTATTTGTGATTGCACTAATTTCCCGCTATATGAATGTTTTTCCTCAACCCTACAGATTCCGCAAGCTTTCTGGAGTTGCCTTCGAAAGTATGATCTTTTTCGATGACGAAGAACGCAACATTGTGGAAGTTGGAAGGCTTGGTGTCCAGACTCACTTGGTTCCACGTGGAATAGATTTAAGCCTGTTTCAACTAGCCCTGAAACAATTCGACCAGAAAGATTCAGCTAGATAACGTCGCTCCATATTATTTTCCTTTGGATTCTTCGTGTGTGCCTTTCGGCCTTTCCATCGCTAACGAATAGCCATGATGTGTTTGGCTTGCATTTAGAACAGCTGGTTTAGTCACCGTTTATGCTTTGCGTTCTCAATTTTCCCCAGCTGTCTATATTTTTTGTCTCTTACATCGCATTTGTGAAAGTATAGTTGCATCGGTTGCCGCAGTGCCCATGCACCGCACATAGGCATACTGGCCCTAACTGACGATCCTGTGCTTGTAACTTAATTGAAGATATCACAGATGACTGTATGGACGTGCTTATTCTACCCTCATCAAAATGTCCCCTTCTATATTCTCTATCCATATATCACAACTAAGAACACCGCGTTGTCTTTTAATGGTTCATATCAGAAAGAGTCGACACTTCCATACAACACCGAAGAGTTATTGCATATGTGATTTCAACTCAAACATACTGAGGCCAAACTGCTTCGGTGCCTAACAACGGTGTGTGCCCACTACAAGTAGTTACGCCTTGATTGGGCATGCAGTGGCTTCATTCTTCTGACGTTTACACAGACAGCCCGTGAGGCTATATTCACAATGATGAACTGTGCTGTAATGTGATTCCAAAATTGACTGCAGAATTTGCTGCACGCGTCATACTTTGGTTCCCATTTCATCGTAATTTCGGGTGGTTGTTAAATGGCAGTTCGATGCCTTTCTTGCAACTATCCAGCTGAATTGTATTATGCCACGATAACTGGGGTGTTTATCACCTCTAACTTGTAGAACTTAATATTGAAGTTGAAGTTAATATTGTGTGAACCCAGGTTGTCCGGTTAATCGTGGTACGCATTGCTTGGAAAACTTCGTACTAATTAGTTCATTGCTTTTCTATTTTTGCCGAGTTTCGAAGACACCTGTCAAGGTCGAACCATTTGTTTGAGTATGTACGGCAACTATATACTTAGCGATCAACTGAGTTAACCAGTATCCGTTTTTGCACGCTTAAACTCCTATTTGTGATCTATCATTAAGGGGAGGGTCTAAGCTGAAAAATCGTAATTTTCGACCGCTTTGGAAAACCATACAAATGTCAACTGCAGTCATCCTAGAATATAAATCTGCGAACCATTTTTCTGTTAGCATCTTTTGTAATGTAGTATTTCAGCATTTTGTGAAGCATGTGTGACTTGTTTTTCTATGTATTCAAGCTCATTATATATGCGTAAATTTTAAAATGTTGCATCTCAGCTTGTAGACGTCCTAGAAACTTCATTCAAGTTGTATTCGATTCGGCTTTGCAAGGCCTATCTGGTAATTTCTCATTACCATTCAGTTTAAAAGAACCATTTTCATTGGTTCTTAAAGTGAGAGAAGAGCCATTTGAACCAATCAGCGAGCTCGTCTAATCGGTTACTAGTAAGCCGCCATCTTGGATTGTTCAAAACACAGCACTCGTGTATGTGACGATTTTGTGAGCACATCTTCGCTAATTATGGGAAAACGAAAAGAAAAGGCAGCTTATACACAAAGGAAACATAGATTTTGTGACAATCGCTACTCTAAGCAGCAAGAACAAGCTGCTGGAAGTGATGACAATAATGATATTATGCCAGAAACACAAGATAGGTTTAATGTAAATAAACCTTCGACATCTGCTTCTAGCACCAAACTTGGATCTCCAAATTCACAGTTTGAGTTTGATACAAATGAGGGGCTAACAGGCTTTCGATTTATTGATGTTAAACTTCTTGTTAACTTTGTAAACAGTTTTTTGTGCCCTCAGTGTAGACAGCCTCTGGGCAAGAACGAATCTTATGTGACTGAAAACAGAAGCTCACTGGCCTCAAAGTTCACTTTCCACTGTCAGTGTCAGCATGAAGTATCATTTATGTCCTCTGCAAAATGTGGGAAGACTTTTGAAGTCAATGGAAGGTTTCCAGTTGCTCTGTTTGCCATAGGAAGGAATTATAAACATGGCAAGAAATTTCTTGGAAATATGGTTGGTTGGCGGCATCCGGTTTCGGATTTGCCTGTCACTGTGGCAATTCACAGGACGCCTGCGCCTACAGAGGGACCATGGATGGCTTGCGCCGCACCACCCACAGCTCCATCCACATACCCCATATCCAGTGTAAACCCGAAGGAATAAGACCGGGAGGCATGTGGATGGGAGCCACGTTTCATCAACGGAGCCGGCCCACACTCCTTCACAGGCAAACACAAGCACGCTGTATTTGGGAATCAATCGCACACAAGGCGGTGGCTGGACCGTAGTCCGCTCCACACGGAGTGCATGGAACCGCTCTTTGAGCCTAGCACGGCCACAAGGACCGTGCACCCCGTCCCCTATAGCAACGACCAACTGTCTCCTGGAGCCAGTATGGACGAGGTAGTGGGTAATAGACAGGTAGGCACCTTGTCAACATGCACATCAAGCGCAGCCACACCGGGGATATCAAGCAACAATCAATCACTTAAAAGGACGATATCAAATAATATAAGTTGAATAATACATACAGATACGGTGACATAACTTCACTAAATGTGAGTATGAAATAAATTGGTGTTAAAACTTCGGGTAATGTTCAATACGTTAGAAACTATATCACAAGAAAATGCCACAACCGGAAAAATGTTATCAAAGCTAACTGCAATTGGCTTAAGCAACGTGTGCAAGTTTATACAAGATAGGGAGGGTAGATTTTGATATGAGATAAAAAGGTATTAGGACAACATAGCAAATCCACCACCTGAAATAAAGAGACTCAGCATGAAAGCACGCGGTTAGTAAATCGGATGCAGCATACCTAAAAACGCTGCGGCGGTTCTGCCTACGTCCTCTGCATGACCCGTCGTCGCTTCGGTGGTGGCCTTGGGTGGCCTCGCTCATGGCTCACTAGGCCTGCCTGACTCATGCACTCGCGACTGCATGTGCCACAGCGCCATGCGCTCGCAGTCGAAGGAATACAACCCAACGGCGTCTGTCTCTTCCGCAACGGCTACTTCTTCTCTGCATGCACGGGGCTTTCTCTTACACTTTGGCAACGGCGTTCGTGATCAGATCGAGCTATGCACGCCGATAAACGGCTTTCGATTCCAATTACCCGCAATCAACATTAGAACCGAGTGGCTCACTTTAATCAGGTCCTGGTAACGTAACAGCGGTTTCTCCACATGCCGCTTCCCAATACTCAGCTGACCATATAATAGTTCATTCGGTATCCGCGTCGAATCCATGCGGCTCACATGCTCGCGCCTTCTTAGATGTCTCAGTAAAAGCACGAAGCCCACTGCATACATTCCACTTCAGCGCAACACTTACATGTCCGCAACTCTGTCGCATCAGCTGATGCGCAGCATCCGTCGCAAACACAACTGAGTGAACTGCTCGTGATATCATACATCTCGCCGGTACATTGTCCACGTTTCGCTGCCATATAGCAGGACGGACAGCACCATGGATTTGTACACCATCAGCTTCGGGCCAACGGTGATGGTTGTTGCACATTCGGTACTCTAGCTTCCCGAATGCCGTCGCTGCCTTAGAGATGCGGATACCAAGCTCACTGTGAAGCTGCTGGTCAGTCGACATTACACCCCCAAGATAGCAGGAGCGCATATATATATATATATATATATATATATATATATATATCTTGGAAGAAGCACGTGGTACTGCGTTGAAGAAAATACTTAAGGCTCGCCAATTGCAGGCACATACTATTTAAAAAACACTACTGCAGTGCATCCTCCACTTTATTTCTCATTGGGACGAACTCCCGTTACTTATTTGGTCACACACTTACATGCAGACATTTCTTATGCAAATACATATGTAAAGTAAACGCATTTTCTGGTTGCAAATACGCACACTATACACGTTAGCTAGAGGTGGGAACACTTCAACTACTGCGCCGCAATACCTAAAAAAGCAAATAAAATGCAACAGGTGCAAACCAGTAGAGCTACCGGTAGTGGATGGGTCTCGTTCCGGTAATCTATCTGCCGGCTATTATGCAGCAGAAAACAATAATATCCCATGCAAAATTAAAAAATGCTAAATAATGAGATTGTGGTTGGATGGGAAGCTAAGAGGGATAGGGGGGACGAAGAAACTCACAGCAGGAACGCCACTGAGGTCGGCTCTTAGCCATATCAGCAAGTGTGTCCAACCAAACGTGTTCAGCTTTCTTCAGACTCCAACTAGGGAGCCGAGACGCTCCAACTGAGGCCAGCTTCGAAGTGAGGGCCTTCAGTTCTCTCGACCAGGTCAACGATTGGCCACCTCTCCTCTGCTTCCATCCACACCCCCGGCGCGCAAACAACGCACGTCGCGGGAGTCGGTGAGCTGGCATGCGTAACACGTGGCCGAGCCATCGGAACCTGGTACGTGAAATAACGGTGCTGAGCGGTTCATTTCCTTTTCCTGTGCCGTAAACAAGGCGTCGAATATGCTCGTTGCTCACGCGGTGTTCCCACCAGATGTGAGCTAAATTACGAAGGCACCGGTGATCGAACGTAACTAGCCTCTTCAGGTCCGCTGCTTTAAGCGGCCAGGTTTCACAACCGTACAGTAGGGTCGAACCTACCGCTGCATCGTACACGCTACCCTTCAGGGCGAGAGTAATGTCGCGCCAGCGCCATAAGTGGCGAAGGTTAGCAAAAGCGCCTCACAACTTTTCTATACGGTTCGTGATCTCAACTTGAATCAAACGGGCGCGGATACAACTTCGCAGGTAGTTGAATTTTTGAACGACTTCTAGCTGATCCCCACCAACGGTCAGCGTAGGGGGCGGTCCAGACCAATCTTGGAGGAACGCTTTACACTTCGAGGGTGCAAAGCAAAGCCCGAAGTGATGGACAGCTAGTGCTAATCTGTCCAGTGCCGCTTGACACATTTGTGAGCTGTCAAAGATTAGGGCAATATCATCAGGATACTCTAAATCAAGAAGTCGTTCTCCTGGGAGCAGGTTCACATCTTCTAAGTCGTGTCCTGTGAACGCGATTTCCATGACTTCGTCCACAGCGAAGTTGAAGAGGAAAGGTGACAGCGGGCATCCTTGTCTCACGCCGCTGGAGAAATTAAAAGGCGACGACAACTTGCCCGAGCTACGCGCATATAATGCTCGGATAATATTCACATATTTCTCAGGTACACCTTTCCTGAGTAGACAGTCCCAAAGTGCATGTCTATTCACAGAATCGAATGCACCTTTGATGTCGAGGAACACGATAACGGTGGACCGCCAATATATGTGACGGTGCTCCAATAAATGACGCAAGGTGAAAATGTGGTTAATGCAGCCACGACCTCGACGAAATCCAGCTTGCTCTTCACGAATCTGGCTTTCACGAGTGTCAGTCAGTCCGCGAAGGATGACAGAGGCAAGCAATTTGGAGGCGATGGAGATCAGACTGATTCCTC